ATGTAGTAAGTGTAACAACATACCGATGTTACACTTTAAAAAAATCTTTTTTGTTGTTACACTTTGAAAAAATTCGATTGTGCTGTTTCATTTCAATAAATTTTTTATTTTTGTTTCACTTATATGTGTTGTGAATAGAAGTTGCGTTTTCATTCTCGGACATTCAATTGAACTAAGTTAAAAAGCAGTCGCCACCCTCGATATAATATAATAATGATGTTTTTTTCTCTCTCTCTCTCTCTCTCTCTCTCTTTCTACCCTTCCGTTTTCTTTTCTTTCTCTCTGTTTTTCTTTGTCTATTTTTGTTTTTTTCGTTATGCAGTTATGATGGATGAGCCTCGCTTTGCGCAACCGATTCCAAATGTAAGTTATGAGCTTGCCGTTAGCGCTGTGTGAACTTTCATTGATCGATTGTGAATTCTGGTTCTATTTTGTTCAGGTTACAGTTGCCGTTGGGAGGGATGCAAATTTACCCTGCGTTGTTGAACATCTGGGAGCATATAAGGTAAATATTGTTGAACACTGCATAGCGTTGCTGTCCTTTCACCAACAACAGAATGAATAAAAAAAATTGCAACTTTTAATGAACAAAAATGGAAATAATGCAATAAAAAAAATGCTTGAAACTCTCTCTCAGCTGAGTGAGTTAGTGTTTGGGCGACGTTCGTTTTGGATCATTTCATCGAAAATCGGCGAACGCTTGCAAATGGTTGTGTGCTTGCCTGTGTAATCTTTCGAATTGTTTTTTTCTTCCGGTGTTTGTTTTTTCGTTTTGTTTCTAGGGCAAATTTAGAAGCAATTCGGTTTAACGAATTTTAAAGTCAAAATCGAGAGTGCGCGTGCTGCATACACAGACACACACACACAAGCAGCAAAAATGAATGTTGCAAGCGAATCTTAATGACGGAATAAATATCTTTTAAATTGCAAAACAAAAATCACAGTTGAATTAATCTACATAAAAGCATATTGTGTTGCCTTGCAAATACACTCATCGGGGTTTCGAAGCGAGAAGGGGGCTTTTATTCATTAATTTGGCTTTTATGAGCTATTTTGGAACACAGATTTCCACAGTAAAAAGCCCGTTTGTAAAAGGGAATAATTGAAAATGACATAAAACATGGACGGCGACTGCATTTGTTGTAAATGCAAATCGGTCTGGTTTGCCGTTCGAAACATTGTTCGGACATAAAGGAATGCAATTTTGTTACTATTTTGGTATCTTGTGCACATATTGTGCATTTTGATACTTTTGACGGCAAATGCCAGATAGAGTTACATCTTGAATGCACAACAATTTTCTTTGTATTTTTTTCATCTTCATTTTGGAATTTTCAAAGAACCAGACGGTCTGTAATTTGTAATTCACCAGAATCTGAACCCAAAAACACCAAATCGACTCGATGCATGTGCTGGGTGGGTGGATGATATATCAATATTATGCAACCAAATAGCCTGGATGTATATTAATTTCATAAATACGGGGAGCGTGATTTGTTCGTTAATTTCGAAATGGCATTGTACAACTGTCTCGTTGTTATCACAGCTGGCAATATGAATTGAAACGATGCCATAATATATATTTCGAATTTTTCAAAGCATAATTCCGTAACGACTGAAGTTTTATTCGCGTATCACATTCCTGATGAGTGCAAAAGGGAGAGAGAGAGAGAAAGAGAGAATAAATTTCGAGAGTTGAAAGGAGCATCTGAACAGAGATAAGAAACGATGAACCGTAATTCATTTAACAAATAAACAATTCACATGCAGTGGATACATAAATTTACTGATTCAAATTAATTGAATTGGAATGTAATTAACGCTAAGTGGATGAAAGGTAAAAACATTGGCAATGACGACGATTAAGGTATCAAGATGGTTTACGAGAGCAGCGGCAGTGGCAGCGGCGACCAGATGATGATGAAGTTTAAAATAATAAGTACCTCGAGCACGCCTGAGCTGATGGCCATTGGAAACGTGGCGCAACATCGTCCAAGACGGAAGTGTGTTCATTCCGTACGCATTACAGCATCTGCATTTGACCAAACTTACGACGAAAACAATATAAATAATGATGATCAAATTGTGAAACGAAACTGTCATTTCCAGTTGCGCGCGGTGCACAAAATGAAAGCGCTTCCTATTAGTTATGTCTCTCCATAGCCGTTGTGTGTTGCGCGTCTCTCTTTTGCCTCTACCTCTCTCTATCTCCGTCTTGCTGGTCCCATTCCGTGGGCCCGACAACATATTCACAGTTAATTCAAATAGAATTATACGTACTTACAGAAAGTCATTGCCGATGCCTTGTTTTTCATTAAATATATTTTATTCATTCGTTCGCTTTTCACGTTGTTGGCGGCGAAGCGCGTGCTTCAGTTTGTGTACGGCCGTACGTTGTGCGTGACTGGTTCGAGTGTGAGCGAACGAGCGAGCGCACTCTTGCCTCTATTCCCTGCACTGTGCTCCTTTGTGTGTCACTTGCTTCGCTTGTCGCTTAATGTCGACGAACACAAGTACAGACGCAATCAAGCACTTTGGCTCATTGTCAAGCCTTTTTCACATTCATTTCCACGGAATAATTAATGTATACTCCTTGTTTGAATGTATTTTTAAATTTCATCCTCGTTCGCAGCCAAGTGACACAACAACTAAACGATTGCTCAAAATGCTCAAATGCTCATTGTCTCATCTCATCTCGGTCGTTCTCAACCCTCCGCTCCCGCTCTCCCACCGTCTCTATGTCTTCCATTCTTTTCATTATTGTTAATTCATAGCGAATTCATTTTTCGTTTGTTTCATTGCGTATTATTATTCTTATTATCATTTATTATTTTCTGTTTCTTTGCCTTTTATCTTTGTGTCATTTGGGCTGGAGTGAGCGAATGAATGAATATGTGCGTGTGTTTGTGTTTAAGATCTGCATCATTTCATCCATCTGACATAAACAATGTGAACGATGTTAACAGGCCAAAACAAGTGTCATCCAAGAAAATGCGACGAGCATCCACACTCACTCAAACACATACTTGGCCTTCATCAATTCAGAAGAGGAAAAAAAGCCACGCACACAATGCCAAACAAAGAACAACGAAACAATGGAAATTGCTATTTTTAATCACTTCAATTTCCAAATCAAGTTACTTTGTAAAGTGAGCGCTTCTCCGTTTCACCGTGAGAATACGACCGCACACTCGGCAATGAGATGCAATAAAATTTACATAAAATATTGAGCCCAATAAATTAAAATTATTCAATAAATAAGTATGTCGCTTCGTTTGTGTATCGTGTTTATATTTGCATATATGCATTGGATGAATTCGTAAGCAGATTTCATAGTCCGTATTTATCGATGGAATCGTGGCAACGGATTACATTTCGTATGGCACCTATAATGCCAATTTATGACCATTTGGCACACTATTTGAGCGCGACGAGAGGGGCGAGAGAAAGGTGAGGAAAAAAAACAAATGTGAATTGTGCGAATAAAGGTCATTCGACCGACACCACCACAACCATTTTCCCATCCGTAGATTTGTGTTATGTTAACCATCTTACAATGAGTGTACTCGTAACCCATCTTCGAAAATATGCCAAAATAAACGATAAACAGCTTCTTCTTCTGCTTTCAGTGAAGCAATTTTGGTCCGCATAATTCGTTGTTTTGGTAAACATATTGTAAGTGTTGCCACTTTATCATCCTAAGCAAACCATTTCGAGAGATCGACAATGCCGATTTTGTTGTTGTTATTTTCTTTTTCACCGGCCTCGCTTTTCACTCGTTGAGAATAAAGTGAAGCTATTTGGTTTTCGGTGCTCAATTTGCGAAAGGTTTTTCCCGAAAATTTAATCAGACGAATTGAATGCTTTCGATGGAGTCATCAATAGTGATGGAAGCGGCTGCGGTGGTAGTAGTTCGCATACACATAAAATCCCAAGTAAACGAAAAATCACATCAAATCAATGCATCCACAACGCAAACAAAGGCTATAAAACATGCAAGAGTAAATAAGAAATTCGTTTGCAGTCAATCGATCAACAGCGGTGGCGGCGACGGCAATGGTGTGTTTGGTACACACATCCATATGTGTGCACTAGGCCGTTTCTCCATGTTGAAAAGTCGAAACCAACATACACATTCTGAATCGGTAGAGCCTGTAGATTTCAAAAATATAATTTTTGTGTTAAAAAATTTTGTTCCTTGCGAGCAAAATTGCGAATTAATAAATAAATGAATTTGAAAGGTTTTATCAAAAAACCATACAATACGTTTCATCACAGTAAAGTTCGAATGTTTTGCAATGGATAATTTAAAAAAAAATTCTTATAAAATTCATACAAAATTATATATTTGAAATCTACAGGCTCTACCGATTCAGAATGTGTATGTTGGTTTTGACTTTTCAACATAGAGAAACGGCCCAGTGTGCACATACAGATTCAAATTAGTTATTTAACACAATCACGGCAAAAGGAATAGAAACCATGAAATCGGAATATAATAAAAAAAAAACAGCGAAAGAGGCAGAGAGAGTGAGAGCGAACGCTCTGCTATGTGGAACAATCACAATGCCGAAAAACCAACAAATATTCTCTCCTATTATTATCAGATGTACTAAACGGAAGCGGTTTTTCGGTGAAAGCCAAAATTCGCGAAAAGGCTACAAGTAGAGGCGGCAGCGACGGCGGAAAATCGAATAATAAATCAGGATGATACTTTTGTGTATGCTCCCTTCAAATGGGGTGTTGAGAATGTGATTAAAGGCATTTTTTTTCTCATTCATCCACTCGCAACCCACACCCTTCTCTCGGCGCGTTCGTTTCGCATATAAAAACAGTGCGATTGTTGTTGGCACACATAAACCTGAGCAACGGCGACGGATTCATCGATGGGCGTTTTGTGTTTGTGAATGTCGATTTGCTCACTTTTGGCTCTTCAATTTTCAACAGGTACGCGAGACCGTATCATATCGATTATGGGCCATCGTTTCAACTGTTAAATTACATTCCACGATTTCTTGGGCACATTCCTTCTATGAATCGTTTACTTATTTTTTTCTGCTCTCTTTCTCTCTCTCTCTCTCTCACCCACTTTTCTTCCTTCTTTTCGTTTCGTTCGCTATATGGCATAAACAAACTTGAACGCGTTCTCTTGCAGGTGAATGCCTCTAGCCCATTCAGCCATAAAGAATATGTCGTTTGCTTGAGTAAAATCGACAATAGGTGCAACTGAATGGCGTGTTATTCAGCGTTACTAATGAAATCGTAACAATATATATATATGAGCCGGTGGTGGTTGGCTTGTGTGCTTTCGAAGAAGTTTGGTATTTCAATCGACGGACTATTTTCCTGTTGGTTTGGCTTGTTGGCATCCAATAGTCGTAATCGAGCCATTCAATAGACCTGATAACAGAATGGATTTTCAAAAAAGAAATCACTCCATTCGGCACTCGCTAAATGGAAGGAAGGAATGAATTAATCACATTCTCACATATTATATGAATGGAG